GGCCACGGCGGTGAGGGCAATAGTAGCAGGATAGAAGAACTTCATTTTGGGTTGTTTGTAGCTATCACAGGTCAATTTGTACAATGAAAAAGACTATGGACGGAACGAAATATATTTTCCGTCAAATTTGGTGTTTGGTTCTGCCAGAAAGTTGATTGCTCTGCCGCCAGTGTCGCATGATGGGGATGTGGTTGCTTCAATGGCAGCTAGGAATTCATGCTGCATTGTAAGAAAAGGGTTTTCACTTCGATTTATAAATGGATATTTGTGGAAGATTGTGCATCTTCCGACATCTCTTTCATGCACTGTAAGAATGAATGCAATTCAGAATTGCGAAAGCATGTGAAGCCAAAGCTACGAAATCGTGACTTTTGAACATACGAGTGAAGATGCATCTGTTCGAAAACAAGGATGCACACGGGTATAAGATTCAATATTAATCAAGATATAGAGATGAATGCACTGATGAGTTCACGCTGTTATTGCTTTAAAAATTTGCTATTTAGATTTTGTGTCTTGTTTCAGCGATAAGATTTGAGCACTGCTGAAAAAATACTAAAATTGATGTCTTTCCGTAGGCCTCTCATCAGCTTGCCTATCGATATTTTTTTTCTCATGCCGTTTGCTGTGGTGTTTGACGGTCAATAAGGCTACAGATTGTGACCACATTTAATGCTCTATATCGTTCTCAGCAAGTTAATATTGGGCGGCGAGGATGTTACCATGTGTTAGCTTTACGCTTTTAGCAGGTGTCTGCACTTCCACAATATAGACAGCAACGTGTATTTATCTTTACTGAATGCTGATCCAGAATATATCTACTCCATAGGGCTCTTCGTCTCCATTTCGCGTTGATGTTAAGTGCGACCACCATTAATCCGGAAAATACATACATTTACATTATGTAATATTATGTTGTCCAATTTTGTATCAATTTGCGATCTGCGTCAGAGCTCTAGTGTAAAAGATCTGGTAATATAAAAATCTGGTCCCTTTGTCACCGAATCACCGAAATTGCAATGCAGACAAGGTCCTTGTGCGAAAGTTACGAGTCCTCTATAGGTGCAAATCTCCACTGCGTTTGATCGAACTTAACCTATCTTTCAACAGCAATGTCATGTGCTTAAGCTTATTCCACCTCATCGATGCTTTGTGTGAGTCAAAGACCTATATCTCTTTATTGCATGGTTATTCTAGTTTGGAGCTGGACACTTCTTAACAATCATGAGGGGTTTGAATCAATTAATCTTTCTAATTTTAAGCGAAATGTTTTTAAGATTCGTATGTCTAGAAGCCACTCATCGTATGCATGAAAAGAGTATCAAGAGATGTTCAAGCAACGCACCTGTCCAGTACCCAAATTAGAATTTTAGCGAGTGACAGCGATAAGCGAAGAAAGAAATATCTAGTGCACGTTTGTTTATTGCTTATGCTGACTTGGCAGATGAAATGTAATACAAGCTAGCTACACCATTATGTTGTTTCAAATTGTAATCGTAGCGAGCTGAACAGTGTTACGGTCTATTGACCAGTTTGTTTTAAATTCAGGAGCCGGTGTAGCTAGGAGAGATTAGATGATGAATGATGGAGATATAGGAATAACGATCTTTATTTAGCTTTCCTGATTGCTACGAGTCATCAACACGATATCGTGGAAGTTGAACCCTTCAATGCAGCCTAATTGTCAGTCGTAGCTGCACGGAGGCTGAATAATCGGTTTGCTGCTGCAACTTGCTTTACAGCACACACTCAAATTCGGTACTTGCATAACGTCGCAGCAATGATCGTGTGCCGACCTTATATCACTTGTGCATTGTTTAATGCAATCATTTGTCTCATCACCAGAGACGGCAATAAGACCCGCAAGCCAGATAAGGCAAATCGTGAGCTTCATGGTATGACGTATGAAATTTGGGACAGAATTGAGAGGCTCTTGTCAAAATGATGAGTGTGGTTATACACCTCGGACTTGCAGACAGATCTCACTTACTCAACAAAAATCACAAAGACAAACAGATGGTAAAGCAAAAAACTGGACGTGATTCTGTATTCTCTTCCCCGGCACAAGAACTTAACTTACGTGCTGGAGATGGAGGAGGATGTCGCATTTCAATTCATCGATCGCTTGTACTACAAATTTTTAATTCCTTAAAATACTTGCATAAGAATGACATTCTCCCTCAAATAGATATCAATCATTCAAGGTAATTTATGTTTATAAGTGAGTAGCACGTTAGTGATTACGTATCGTATAAATTGCTGAACCTCTTTTTGACGACTATCCACTTGGTTATCTTTCGTTTTCTTTCACCGAATACCTGTACGTATACTCGAAAATTTCACTTGATTGATGACAATAATAATCCTGACAATACAAATAGACCACATACTGCTAGTTCAGCTCATGTAAGGAATTGATTTTGTAAATTTTCTGAGCGTTGGCCTACTACTTGAAATCGGCTTTTTAGTGGGTTTCAAAAAGAAATATACTGGTGATTGTGGAGATCAATCCCTAAAAGACTGTACTATATTCAACAGCGAAGCCTGCAGTATTGTGCATGACCAGTTTCATACTTACTTAGAATGTGTTTTTAACTCTCGATTAACGTGATCTCTGTCCTCACCTGTAACGGGCTACACTTAGCCAATGTAGATAAACAATAGCTTAAATGTACCTTCTGTATGCATTGCGGAAATTTAAAAGAAGACGTTTACAAATTGATAATTCCAAATGCATACGTGCATTTCCTGTAAGAAGTCACAATCAATCAGTGTGATACAGAATGCTGGTTCGTACTTGGGGATCTATGCTTGAAACGAGGTTAAACGCACCGTTGTATGAAGGGGGTCACACAAGCGACGCACCCTTTCATAGGAGTGGATTACACATGTTGGTGTAGTCACACAATATTGTGACCACACCGTAACAAAAAGCCACAACGAGGCAGGACAAAAAATGTATATTTATTAGGTTTTACTATATAACCTATGTAAATTGATTAGAGAAAACCAAAATTATAGATATTGGCGGCTCTGCCGCAAATAGAAAACTGAATACAGTTTCAATTTTGAACAGAAGAGCTACTTTACCTTGGCTAAGGTTTTAGGTAATTTTGGAAGTAGCGGTTTCTGATTCGCTACATTCGTACTGGTTTTAGTAGAGAACGTAAGGTCGGTGACCTTAGCATAGCTTTGTCTTAGCAAAGAGCTACGGCAGCCTCGCTGCAGTACTGGTGACGAGACCGACCAGGCTCTGTCTTTAGAAGTGGGTAGTCCTTCTACTAGAAACCTTCAACGAAAGTCAAAGTTTAAGCTTTCAAAGATCAAGTTCCGTACACCCAGGATCTTTTATAAGTCGAAGCCGAGGTTCAATTTCAGTACACCCTTGATTTATAAATCAGGAACCCAAGGCTTTATTAGTAAAGTCTCTAGGAGCCCTTGGGGTGTTTTGCATCTAGCTATGAATCATAACTCCTTTTTAATTCAGTTGCTAATTTGCCTTCAGGGTTTGAAATCATTCTTCTCCCCTTCAGTAGGGACTGTCCTCCCCCCTTCACGTCAGGAATTGCTTCCTCGTTGCGCAAGCGTGTGTATTGTGCTTAAGGGATTGTTTGTAAACAGAGCATTCATATAACAGGTAGCACTTCGAGCGACCTTATCAACGACACTCGATTTTGGATTGACGGCGCGGCTATTGAGCACTTCGCGCATTCCAGCCCAGGTCATACTCTTGTCCTTGTCCGAGCGACATGGAAGGAGTTGGGTACCACTCGACCCATCAATACCGCAATCTGAAGTGTTGACGAATGAGATTTTTCCTCGCTTGTTTTCACATGATTGGATGAAACTCGAGCGGATGCGAGAACTCATCGAAGAAGCTGCAGTAGTCAGTTTACTGCAGTCGTCTTTTCTGGATGATCAGAAAAACGCAGCCGTTAGTTTCATGCATTATGAGATTATGGAATCTCGGAAGCAGGTCGCAACCTGTTTCTTCGTACAGAACGATGCCTCTGAAAATGAACGTGTCTTTTACCGTGGTTGAGAGAACGAGCCTCTCTCACGATGGGTTGTCGAGTTGGATGCAGCAATCACTGCAAGACAACTACAAGATCACTTGCAGCAAGTGTTGCTCGCGATGTCCAACCTCGCGGATCGTGGTAAGCGTCAGGCGTATAGGAAGCGTTAGCCGAACCTAATTACTTTGTCAGCTACGAACACTTTAAAGTCAAACTAAAGAAGGCGTTTGGACGACCACAGAGTTCGTTCCGTGCCCGTTCCATATTCTTGAAGCTTCGTCAATGTATGCACAGCGCGCTCACTATTTGGTATCGAGCATCGTCGACGAGCTAATTGACGCTTCAACGCAAGTTGTAACACTCGTGGCGGATGGTAAATTCGGAATCACTTGGTCTGGGAGTTTCCCAAGACGCTGGATGACGCCATCAACCGTGCGATGCACGAAGATTTTAGCATCAACAAACCAAGTTCAATGGCTTCGTACCGAGGGAAGTGCACCGGTCGACCGGTACAAATGATGGCCCAGAGACAATGGGCATCTCGTTCAATTCCACGCTTGCAAATGAGCGTCCCCACAACGATGGAAATTGTCTCCGTTGTGGTCGGCCGGATTATATTGCCCGGAATTGCAGATTGATTTGCCGATTTAGCAACAGACAGCGGGTGCTCGTTTAGATATCCGCATACATTATAAAGGTCGTCGGCTCGAACGCTCCCAAGGGTAAGAAATGGGAGCGACAAGTAGGGGCGTGGATCCTTACTAGGCCCAAGAAGAGTACTGTGGATGTTGTGGATACAAAGAACTTTGGTCCCAGTGTACGTGATGCACATGCAGTTTCCTCAATGAGTGAGAGTGTCAGGCAAAGTGCGGCTTTGATTGTCCAAGAAGTCTATGTAGATGGTTTTGAGAAACCACTAAGAGCTTTGATTGACACTAGCGCGTCAAACAACTTTGTTCGAGCGCAAGTTTTGGCTGGGTATGGTGTTAGCCTGCCCAATGTGAAACAAGGTATGATCATTTGTTTAGCAGATGGATCTAGAATGAAGATGCAAACACAAGTAATTTGCTTGGCAATGAAGTTTGAGGATTTCCGAGGTGATTCTACTCGACCTCGATGATGAGTTTGATTCATCCTAGGCATGCCATGGCTTAAGCGTTACCAGCCTTGCTCTGACCGGATGAATATATAAATATGAAGATCGTTTTGTACAAGTCATGTAGCGCTGATTCGTGCTGCATGACGACGAACGAAACAGAATGGGTAATCGCATCTGTTGAAAAAGTCACAGATGTCCCAAGTGGTATTATAGTGTGCGATGGCCGTCCATATTTATAGGACAAGCCCAAAATGAAGAGAGTAAAGATACCAACTGGAGGTGGAGCATTCAAGCACCAGAAAAGGACTGCCTCATTTGCTATCGACATAGAAGTCATGGTCGATGGGTGTATGAGAAAGGGGGGGTCAGAGACAAAGAAAGCTCTTGTAGCGATCTTCAAGCGTCGAGAAATGCTGTTGCAATATCTTGATTTGTCCGCGATGAGCGCTCATCCACGGCCAGATTCGCTCGATCGTTTCACGATCAGCTCCACCTTCGCTATCAGACTCTCGTGGTGAGCGTCGTTGAGTGGTTGAGACGATTGTCGATCACGAGGATCGATCGACTCGTCATCGGGTAAAGAAGCAGTTGAGCCATCAAAGCTTCTACAGAGTTCGGTGGCGTAGTTATTCATTGAACTTGGGACACGTTAGAACCTCGTCAGGCCCTAGATTCTGATCTCCCCGACGTGGTCGGCAGTTACAGATATTGCTTGTAGTATTGCTAGAGACAACACTACGACAACCAGAGCTTGGTCGTGCTCGGTCATGACTGGGATATCTGCCAGCGCCGACTCGCGAAGCAGACACTGTATTTTGTTCTGGACGCCAACGGAAGAAGCGTTCAATGTAAAGCCTCTTGTCTTCATTTCGGTTGAGAATGAAGGAAACATCAAAAAGTTTAGAGCGCTCTTTGTCGTTTAGGCGATGAACGCGTTTTCATATTGGCTTGTTCGCTGAAACGCTTCGGTGTTGATCGAAAATAGAACTGCTCTAAAAAATCTGCAAAATGATCAAAGTACTTGTGATTTTAACGAGAGGTGATGTAATGGGTTACACTTATTCACTACACGAAGGTTCATTTATGTATTGTGGAAACTTATAAAAAGACGATTACAGTATGGTAATTTCAAATGCATTCGTGAGTCTTACATGAAGTCATATCAATACAGAATGCTGGTTCCTACTTGGGATCTGTACTGGTGACGAGTCCGACCTGTCTTTGTCTTTATTATTGGGTAGTCCCTTCGAATTTTTCCACGAAAGTTAAAGTTTAAGCTTTCGAAGATCCAGCTCCGTACACCCAAGATCTTTTATCACTTAAAACTGAGGTTCAACCTCAATCCACCGTTGATTTATTCAGGAACCCAAGGCTTTTTTAGTAGAGTCTCCAGGAGCCCTTAGAGTGTTTTGCATGTAGCCAGGATCCATAACACATTTATATTTCGGTTGCAATTTCGCCTTCAAAGTATAAAGTCATTCTTTTCCCTCCACGTCGGAACTGTCCTTCTCCCTCCACGTCGGAACTGTACTTCTCCCTCCACGTTGGGATACGCTTCCTCGTCGCAGAAGCGTATGTGTTATATCTAAGGGACTGTTTGTGAACAGCGCCCTCTAACATCACCTAAAACGAAGAAAGCCAGACCCTGCATTGTGTTGATCTTTTCTACTTTACTATTCTAAAATTTAGGTCACAACTCCTCAGATCATTGAGTACTGCTCTACTCAAAAGGTTAATCTTTTCTAGCAAACAATACATGTGGCGACTGAACAAAAAAGGTGTCTTGTGACGTTTGACTCCTGCATGCTACAAATTGTATAATCGTCAGCGTGACGTTTCCCAGCGCTGAATTCTTCGGAAGATTTAGCTTTGGAGCTAGATGCTTCGTACCTCTTGCCGAAGAAGAAGAGGAGGCACAGATTACAACAACAATCGCAAAATCCACATCAATAATAACAACGGTACTACAAGGCAGCTACGAAAGATCACTCTCATCCTCAACATAATAAAGGTCCATCAAGTCTGGTGCGCTCGTCAAGCCTTCAATCCCTCATACTTCAAACGACTTTCGCGACACAAAATTGTTCTTTGCACCTAATACGGCGACGCCGAATGAAACGGAAGGTATCGGTGTGAGGAGGCCGTCGATAAAAATTGTTACCGTTATTACCTTAGAGAGAGGATGATGCGTCATCGCATCGATGAGATATCAACCCTTGGCCATAGTCTAGATAGTATTGCTTCTTTGACGGAAGGATAAGAATTTGATCGCAGCAGTTTGCCTGGTTAGGCGATTTATCACCGGCATCTTTTATCACGCGGCATCTTACTCCTTAAAATTGCATTCGTCGGAAAACGCTCCTGTCTGGATGTACTGCTGGTGAGTGCCCTAATCTCGCGTGCTGTCTCCTTGCTTTGAGAACGCTTACGTAATAGCATGACTCTTCATCTGAAAGGCCAAATTCCTGGTCATTTTAACGTTTCTAATTCGAGAAAAGAAACATTCTGTCCCTGTTCGCAAAGCTGAACAGAAGCTGAGAGTCGGTTTTGCCTCCACCAAAGCCTGTTTAAAGACATCCTCGTGATGATACCCTGGCGATACCCAGACCCGGCAAGAAATTAACGCTCCCGGTCTGAGTCTGCCAAATATTTCATTCTCTTGGGACCGATGAGCTTACCGGATGAGCACAATACAATTAGCCGGACAACTCTTATACAGTCTAGTTATACTCGGTGGTGACGACAAGTGCTACAGAGTGCTACCAAATGCGATGGAGCTTTTGTGCATCTAGCACAACGAAAGCTGTCAGTCATTCATTCCGTGTCAATAATCGCACAGAGAATAGGATCATGCGCTTCATCTATGGACAAAATCAAGAGCGTTTTTAGTGAAAAATCACTTATTTACACCCTTGTTTTAGGAGAGATGCATGAGTATATCGAACTTAACCTTAAGACAGAGCTTAACTTATTTCTATTTAGTATGGGAACGCCACAGTACTGAATAGTGTGAGGCAAGTAGCCCACGTTTCCATGGCCCACTATATATGGAGTTCCATCACCTTCATCAGTACCAGTCCTTCATACTTCTGAATATTGCTCTAAACTCAAAGACTAATAGTGTAAGATGTATAAACTCGTAACCCATCACTAAGACATGTACTGCAATGGAGCATAAACGGCGAGTCTTGTTCTAAGACACTATATTTTTTTAAGAAAAGCTCCGAGAGCTAACTGCTCCTGAAATGCCATCTTCATGCTTGTAATACAAACATTTTTGTCCTAAGAGCAGTCCTGTCCTCTATCATTGGAAGCACGATTCGGCCAGAAAATTCATCAAAGTTGTTTGACTTGGTTTCCACATTGCTTGCACCAAATTGTTTGACATGCGAGGGGGGATAAATCACTGACATATTCTCAGAGATCCACAGTACAATACCGTCATCACGTGACTAGCTAGAGATTTTTTGACCTATGTCGAATCGCAGACTAGCTCTAAAAAAAAGTCTATAGATGCTGTGACGATTGGACAGTCTCTTGCTGTCGTCAATTACCTTCACTTTGATCTCAATCTCAATGTATTTGTAATGTGACCATTAAATTCAGGAGCATCAAGAATTGGGTCATCATCGGCTTCGTCACCAAAAGTCTCGCCAGTAATTAAAGATTCGGGCATGCTGGTAAAACTTTTTCGAAAAACCGCACCATACACAGCATCACCAGCAATGATCAGTCGTGGAAATTCTCAGCAAAACTGACCGCGCTGAGTGATAGCCACAGTACAAGCTTTGATCTTGGACTATGCCTTCTAGTCTCAGAAGGAAATGGACTTTTATGTGGGTAGCCTGCCTTCATATACGCCATCTGGCCACTAGATTGGCACCTGCACAAAGGATGTATTTGATAAAAGGCTATACAGATATCGCATGTTAGGTCTACGAGTAAGCTGAAAAGTCTTCAGACTAAGGAGATTGCCGCTGCCATATTGGATGTTCTCGCGCGTGTATGCTTCAGAGGCACCAACTGGCCAATTACGTGCCCCACATCAACTGCAATGTTATCATCGATTAGTTGGCTTTTTTCAAGAAGGTTTTTTTAATACTGATAAAAAAACACTTTTACTTTTGTAGTTTATCACATTGTTCACGCAAAAATGTACAAATGCAGAAAGTGTAACTTTTGTGAAGATTATCAATTGATTCTCTGTAGCATGGACGTAACATCCCACTAACATCTTTCGGACTCGGAGCGAAGCGCTAAAACATTGCGGTTAGTGCTTGGATACAAAATTTGAAAATTTTTGTCGCGGCATACCACGCAATGCGCGGATCAGGGTTTTATGTATGGCGTCATGAAAACTCGTCTGAGGACGCGATCGAGGGTCGGATCCACCAATTAAGGCAAGCTCTGCAAACTCTCCCGCCTGCTGCGGCTACTCTCGCTGATGATGCAGGGCCTCCTGCCAAGCACTCTCACTCTGTTTCAGGTGTTTTTGATTAGTCCCGTCATTCCGAGGGCGATGCGGAGGTCGTGACGCAAATGGGTTTAACCCTCGATTCTCGTGCCGAAGCTTTAAGACTGCGATACATCCAGGTTGGAATTTGCGTCGTCGCGTTGGTAGGGCCTGAGAGGCCCCATGTAGAACGTCGGATGGTTCCAGTGGCCAACTACACTGAGATAAAGACATTGATTCTATCTAGTGCACACAAATGCACTGAATCGTTTTCAGCAACACTTTGCTTTCACGCATAGTCACGCGACGCGAGCAGCAGTTGTTCAAGGGCTAAAAGTGATTATACCTCCACACTCAAACGACTCTATAGTTGCCCCAGTAGATCGCTTGCGCGTACAGGGTACCGGCGTTTCCCGAACGTCTCGTGGTATTAGTACTACGTGACTCGAGACCATTTCAACGAGAACCGTATTGAGAGGTTCGTCTCTTACGCAGACAATCACGGCGGATGAGACCAAATTGTTGACATTCGTAACGGCGAACTGGGACACGGACTGATACTACTTTTCGTCATAGAATCTCGAATCGGCATTATAGGGACACCCGGCTAATCCAACATCGGTGCGTCGATAATGGGGACTCAGAGCCAAAGCCTCCCTTTGCGGCAACCTCGTTGCACTTTTAACTACGCACCAAGCAGAAATCCGAATAACATCTATTTCTTGATAATTGGGCGTAAGGTTTACGAGACTTTAGCAGAAAGCGCAATCTTTTCACCACAGACATTCTTACACGTTCTTTATTGAAGCATCGTGCGTCCTTATCCAAGTCTTATTAAGTACTGCCTTCACGGCCGATTTGGAATTTTACACCCTAGACCTGATCCATTAATCTCAATACGATTATCAGAGACCGCAACAATCGGTATCAAGAGCAGCATAAAACTGCATACGCTTGTGGTATTGGATGCGAAGTGAAACAAACTAGTAAGGATCCAGAATCAGGCGTTCATCGCGTCATCTGAATGATAGCTAGCAAGTATTACTTCCGACTTCCTGATCAGATGTATGTTCCTTTTACTGTCTAACGATGCAAGGACCAACGCCACTTTAAAAGCAAATTACAAAGCTCCATAGGCTCGGTTTCACCAACCAAAGCAGTGTCAAAGTGCAAATAGAGGTTATAAAGTATGCTGCATGCATGATTTCAAAATATGGTCAAAGCGTATTAAAAAGTTTCAACCTGAAAAAATCAAACGGGTATTGAGCTCAACCTTAATTAATTTAACTTAAACTATACATATTGTCGATGCCGTTTTGAGAAATTATGATCTTCTATAAGATAAAACTTACAGGTTCTGTAATTTATATGATAAGTTACCGCAAGGCTGTAAAAATAAAAATACGACCAAATCGAACATGGAGGAGAAGCCAGCGCATAAGAGACTTGAGTCTGGTAACAGTCATTCGCATGGTGAAGCTCACGTGACGTGGGACGAAGAGACTATTGCGCGGCATAATTTGGATCGAGGCACGCGTATGAAGATTGACGAACCTGACACACCATACCATTACTACGCCGAGAGTAATGACGCTGCATCTCCTGCTCGTAGTCTCTCGGGTCGAGAGTCACAGCCTTCGATTCAGGTATTTTATTATCTGTACGAAGCTTATTATTTTAAATAAGTTTAGCAGGAAGAGATTGTTTACTTGTTTTGTCTTGATCAGTGGGACGAATTGCAGTCGAAATTGCAGGATTTTAAAGAGAATACGGAGAGTAAGTGGAATGGCAGTGATGAAGGATGTTCAAGCACAACTTCTGGAGGTCTTGCTTTTGCTGCTCGTGATGAAGAGGGAAAAAAGATTGAAAAGGATCCGCACTTTGCTGAGATGCGTAAGATGCATTACAATGAATTTGAACGTGTACGTGCTTGGAAGATGCAACATGAAGATGAAGACGAAGACGAAGATCACGATGAAGAGGAGGAAGAGAAGCATTTGGCCGATTGTTAAACGAAATGTGTACTTCATGGTCACGTATATAAATAACAAAACGAATACAAGTAGACAACCAGGTTATGTGCTGTTTTTTGGGTTTTAAGAGAAACGGGGTCGTGTCTTTATAGTCAAATCCTGTGCTTCCTTCGTCAAATTTTAGTTTATCAGGTCAAAGTGTTAGAAAAAGCTTCCAAACTTTGTTCGACCTGACATGGAGCACTTGGGGGCTGATCGGTAAGTAGACTCAACCTGTGTTCCAACAGAACTTCTAGGATCGTAGTATTTGGATCCATTCAATTCCGAAGCAGGTCGACTCGTCTTGCTGCGTGAATCCGTTCCAAACGAAAATGCTGCTGCTGACGAAATTGTTGAAACTGCCTGACGACCAACAGCTTCAACAACAACCGCATACTGACCAGGTCCAACATCTGCTGCACTCGTTGTACGAAGTGGCTTTCGCTCAACCTTTGGAAACGAGGAAACGGGATTGGACTTCTGTGTCGATAAAAATGTCCGTCCAATAGTCGAAGGCGTTTCATAAGCCCCTGGTCCTGGAAATTTCTTCTCACCGGCTACAAGCGACCATTTCTTACCAAGCGAGTAACTAGGAGCTAATCGCTCACGTGGGTTTACAATATTCACAGCATAATCACCAGGTCCTGGAAATTTGGAAGACGCATTGAGATCAGCGGTTGAGCCAAATTTCTCACGTCCACTGATAGAGCAAGATGGAGCCTGTGTCATTGTTGATAGCACTGGTTTACCAATTGATGAAGGAATCTGATACGATCCAGGACCAGGAGACTTGGCACCACTTGCCATACGTTGGCGAGTTCCGCTACCAAAGACCGTCACGGGTGCTGTGGCTTTGCGTGAATCCACTTGTTCTCCACACGAGGATTTAATATCCGTAAATGCTTGAAAGTGCGTTGGACTCGCTAAGCCTCGGGTTGGAGACTTTCCTGGTGAGGTCACTGGACGCAGGGGTGACGACGCCATAATAATTATCTCTTTCAATCAAGAAAATATACCAGCACAGAAAAAAATAGATGGATGATTTGCTATTGATTCGCACAGAGCAGAGCAGATCGGTCTTTGATAGCCGCTGGTTTGAAGTCAATCAATTGCTCGAAATAGATTCCGAAAAAGGATGAGGTCAGATCAAGAGGCTCCTGAAAAAGGAGGACTTCATAAACAACGGAGATACTATCACTGTCTAGCTACGTATTTGTATTTTTAGCACTTGTGTGATTGAACTCCGATGTGCAGTAAATCTCATTGTTCTACCACTGATTCTTTACGAAGTGAAGCAATGTTCTGGAGTCATTCATGTGTCTCTTTTAATGATTGGATGACCAATTACGTCGTTTCAAAGGTTGGTTTGGTTACTTTTTCTAAAGCGTTTCTAAAATCATTGCTTATAAAGAGGTTGACGACGTACACCATACACTGTAATGAGCTTTAAAGGTAGCAGCACTCCCAACAGCTCGACTAGAATGATACATGAGAATTCAGCTGACAAGATGAACTATGGTAGCACAAAGTATAGCAAAGTGATGGTGGAAGTCAAGGATGCTTTTGGTCGAGGCGATGGCGACCAGTCGCGGCTGCTGCATCAGCTTAAAAAGGAGATGAGAGGCCACACACATGCTCAGGAGAATCATACAGTGGGTGGAGAGCATATTAAGAGTGCTGTTTACGGTGGACTTGATGGTATTATCACGACATTTGCTACTGTAACGTCTGTGGCTGGCTCAGGGTTGCCACACTCTGTTATCCTTATCATTGGTTTAGCTCATTTGGTGGCTGATGGACTTAGTATGGGGCTTGGGGATATGTTGAGCTCTCAAGCTGAAACTGATTTAGCCAAACACGAACGCTCTCGTGAGCGCTGGGAGTTTGAAAATTATCCTGAGGGCGAGATTGAGGAGATGGTCGAACTCTACGAGAAAAAGGGTCTTTCTACTGATGACGCACTGCTTGTGGTGCACACGTTGGCTAAGTATAAGGAAGCATTTGTCGACATCATGATGGTGGAAGAGCTTAAAATTATGCCCGCAGATGATGATGACTCGCCTCATACGGGAGGATTGATCACATTTCTCTCTTTCATGTTCTTTGGTGTCATTCCACTACTTTCGTATCTTATCAACTTGGTTCCTGGTATTGACATGAATCCCAACACGGCGTTATATCTATCCTGTTTCCTTACTGTTGTCACGCTGTTTTTGCTGGGTGCTGTTAAAGGAAGATTTGTTGGACAAAAGATGTGGAAAGCAGGTGGCTCGATGGCTATTAACGGGAGCGTTGCTGCAGCTTGTGGTTGGATCATTGGCTATTTGTTGCAACTTACGGGTATTCAAAATATTGGGTGAGCTGCGATGGATGTACACTATGCAGGTGATAAAATTTGATCTGTAATACGCTAGATGCAGGTAGATGATACGTTAGGAGACTAATAAAAAACAGTGTTTTTTTAAATACACTCGCTTATATACAGCCTCGATGCTTTTTGTATTTCGATTCATCGCGATTGATTTAAAAGCCTTCAACAAAGCCCGTCATACTGCGGATCACATCCCAGCATGAAACGTCAAACCTTAAGCTGATGAGAAATAATGTGGCGATGGCCATGTATCCCAATGTAAAAAACAATGTCCAAGGAGCTATTGGCTTCATCACAGCAGCTAAAGTCGAATCAGGATGAAACAATGATGACTGTAGTGACATGTTGAGGATCATAAAGCTATGTAGACAGCCATTGTGCGAGCTAATGCTCAAAACACGACCGTCGGCTGTGCACTTGAGATCTTCAAAAGTGGAAGAAGGGGATTGCGCTGAGCCACTGGCTGAACTAGTAGGTCCAGCAAGATCCGTTTGCGTTGAAGACGATGACGTTGGGGGGTTCGTTGTATTTGAAGTAAACGGAGCTGTACTTTCGCTGTCAAGATACTCAACAGCAATTTCTTTCCAGTCACTCATGCGCACTACTTTAATACAGTTGTCTCCACAAGTGGCCACAGTTCCATTCGCCTCACTGTATACAATCTCACGCAGAGAATGTTCGTGAAATTTCGCACAATATTGCTCTTGACCAATTTCGTTTATATGCGTTGAAATGATCACAACATACCCTGACGAGAATCCAGCAATGATGTAGCCATTACCAAACCATTGATATGACACGATACTACCATAACGCGCCTGAAACGCCAGTTCCAGAGCGTTCTCTCTCTCGTTCAAATCGTACAATAATATTGTTTTTCCACCCATATTGACAGATAAAATTGCATCTTTGTCTTCACTTTTGCCACCAAACTACAACAATCATATAGAATAATGACGTCGTACATTTCACATGACTATATATGCAGTATATGACCAAATTAAACGTACCGTAACACTTTGTGGTGACGCTTTGATCTTGACTTGATCAAATGTCCGACCAGAAGGGAGACAAATCGTAATCTGCCGATCTTCCGATCCAAAGGCAAATTTATCTTTCAGATTCCAATCACCACATAAAATTCGACGTTTGTGCTTGCTCGTAACTTGTCTCTTCGTACCCTTTGAGTAGTCGTAAATGTAAACTTGGCCCCGGTTGGTACCAATAGCGAGCTTTATATCCGTCACAATTGCATATTAAGCACAATTTAGCATATCAATTCAATATCTAACATATACATAATATTTTACCAGCAGCGAGCCTGGGGATTTGGACCACTTGATAAAACTGATATCCTTGCATGGTAATTCCACGAGCTGATGGTGCTGGATTTTCTTAGGATCCCACAACACCAGTGACGCCGAATTTGCTTGCACGATAGCTAAGATCTCACCATCATTGCTCCATTCCAAAAGCGTACACAAACTGAAAGAAAAATTAGCACTTTTATACAAATATCTACAATGAAAACACTCGTGTTGCTCACCTTGGCGACGGCGGCACAATCTGATCGATGAGTTTTCCTCGTCTACTAAAAATATGCACAACGCGAGAAGTTCCTGATGATGCCACATATTCACCCTGAGGATCCCAAGCGTATTTGACAGGCCCAACGCCATGATGACGAGCATCAACCGAGAAAATAATTAGCATCCGTGTCGGTCACTTTATGGCTCAATATACCGGTATTAAGCGAATAAATTGTCATGATAGTTTTAGAGGACGAGTCGTAAATATAAGTCCGATGGTCTTGCGATGAATTGAATAGAACAAAAGCTGCAGTGGATATGACTCCACTATCGCCAAATGAGCAGCAACTTTCGACTACACAATCAACGAATCCCATCTATGTTTATACAAAGCTCGTGGTTGCCTCAGCACGAGCAACAACGGCAATTGCAGCTGCGATGATGGCGACTACCAAAACAGCTGGAGTGAACGAGCTTAAGACACTCGATAGATGCACCACGGCACTCATTTCTCCACGCGATCGTAGTGGGCAAAATGCTTTAGAAGGTGGAACCTATACTTACGCAAATTTAGAAGATATTGTACGACCTCGAGTGCTTTCGCCTCGTCACGCGACAATATATGCTGGTAAAAGTATGCTTCAAAGTGGGAATAATGTTTCTACCGCTTGGCGACAATCGAATCAAGTAAAAAGCGGCCGTAATAGCAGCCGAGATAACGGAAGGCAAGAGTCAAAAATACGAACAATTCCAACTTCAATGCTGTCGACTTCCATAACAAGAGATGTTGATGTCTTTCCACCGTGGATTCGAGAACGAAAAGATTTTCAAGTATATTTTCCTCGGTTTGCAGATCATGTGATTACGGATGATGAAATTTTACAGCAAGGAGCTCCAAAAGAACCGAGTGAACGGAACATTGTGGAACTGCAGTGTATTGCACGATGGATCATGAAGATTCCATCTATGTCAACGTTCTTGGACTTGAATCAAGCTACGGAAATTGCCAAGTTGGTGAGATATCGAAGCTGTTGCCCAAATGAGTACGTTTTTCGCAAAGGTGACGTTGGGGATGCGTGTTATCTTGTGCTGAGCGGAGAAGTCCATATTCTGATTGATGGCGAGAAAGTGGCGGCAGTCTCAAAAAATTCTGCCTTTGGTGATATTGCGCTGCAGCTTGAAAATGCAACACGCGGAGCCGATGTTCAGGCTGCATCTTTACCAGGCACAAGCCAGAATTCACTTTCGACTGGCAGTTCAATTGCATGTGAGTTGCTAATGATCATGGCAGACGATTATCATCGAACGCTCGCAAGGTGCCAAACTCGAAGGCGAAAGCATCTTATGAATTGGTTGCACTCTGAAGTGACACTATTTCGCGACTGCATTGAGAGTAAGCTTCATTTTTTTGAGCTCGTGTCGATCGATGTACCGTTAAAACAAGGCGAAATAGTGTATACACAAGGAGAGGCAATTGGAGCGTTCTATATTGTACGCTCGGGTCGTGTGAGACTTGAAGTTGATGTTCAATACGAACGTCGGCATCGATGGCCGTGTGATACACACAAATGGAAACAACAGATTCATGCAGTTCGGTCACGTGTGCCATTTTATTTCGAAGAAAGTGCTGGATTTTTTGGATTTGAAATGTTCATTAAGGAGCAACAAACGAGGGCTTACACAGTTGTAGCTGACTCTCCTACCGTTGAGTTAATAGCTTTGAATCGTGTCGACTGCTTATCGCCTTACTTTTCGTTCACCTCTCGTGCTCAGGAACGAATTTATGATAAGAATAACAAATGCCGGGATATGGCGTTACAAGTTGTTCAACAACAAGTGCGAGCATTTCAAAAGTCGCAAAGTGTAGCAACTAAGAACAACAATAATCTCTCGAGTGCCCCGGTTGTTGTGCAACAAAAATTTTCTAACTCACACGAAACGCCCGACTTTCAGTTTCCACGTCTTCGACCTGCTAAGTGGAAAGCAGATAATACTGTTGTTTGCGCACTGCAACAAGCATGTCAATGATATACAACAACACTGTTGTGAAGAGAACGTTTGACGAAATGAATAGCTCGTAAAGTTGAGATATCATGAATTGTTGTGTTTTGCTACGATGTGGCATTGAGTGGAAAGTCAATGTTGATGCGGTCTGTTTGAGGTCTTCTTCCGCGAATGGTGGCGCATTACATTAAAATCTGAGAGCTACTTGCTCGGGCGATTGGGAGTTGCAATGAATGGTACGATACGTGAAGAATGTTGACGACTCGTTTGCAAGAGAGGTCACTTTTATTATCAAAGAACGCCATTATCGGTGACTAAGAAGCTTCCCACGGCCAAGAACGTTACGCCTGATAGAAACTTGTTGCAGTTCGCCCCTGACTTGTATGTATTCATTAGTGCGTATACGTTATTTTTCCTATGCAGCAGTGGCCGAGCTTGGATTTGGGTCAACAGGAACAAAGCTGCGGATGCAGCAAAAGCTTGATAAATGAGAAGTTGCAACTGTTGAGCTGCGAAAAAGTCTGCGATATACATACTGTGAGATGACAAATACAAGCCACTGTTTATAAATTCTTGATGATTTGCACCGTGTTGAGTGTATACTTATACCCTGCCCACATACTGTCTATGGTAATGGAAGCGCTTACTCATACTCGAGAATGATCTCATCCACCTTCAGCGTGTCACCTGCAGCCCGCGCAATTTTTTTGATGACTCCTCTCTTTTCAGAACGAAGTACATTCTGCATCTTCATGGCCTCCACTATGGCCAGCTCCTGGCCGAGTTCCACGTGCTGTCCGACCTCAACCGCCACTGAAATAAGCATGCCTGGCATCGGGCAAAGCAGCAAGTTGGACGTGTCAACTTCCGGCTTCGGTTGCATGTATTGTCCGTATGCAACCTCTAGCTCATTGCGCACAATGACGTCGTGGATAGCTCCATGAAATTGCAGACGAAAGCCCTCGGGCAACGACTGCATCATTTGCGATGCCAATGGTCTTTCCACCAATCCGTGTTGATTTGCGAACGACGCCTTAAACAGAGGACTGTTCAGCGACCAGTCCACATTGCTGACAACGTGCCACTTGTTTAAGAATGCCAACGTTGCAATGGCAGTGCGGTGGTACTGATTTTCGAACTCAACTTCGATAACGACAACCGGTTTAGACTCTCCAAACGGTCCATCGATGCTAACTGATAGCTGGGCACCCAAGCTCTGAAGGTTGTTGCGTTCTGCAATATCAATAATATTCTCAAATGATACACTAGATGCGATTGCTCGCAATCGAGGCACAGATCCAGCTTGCTCAGAAACGAATTCTAGCTCGTCTTTGTTTAGCAAATCGAATACTTCAAAACGCTCGACAGGAGTCGACTGAATACGACCCGAAATTTGACTTGCGGCACGGGCTTTTTTCAGGTGCATGATGGCACCGACGACACGAAGATCTTCAATCTCCGGGTCTGTCAGTTTGACACCTTGAAAGCCATCCGGATACTCTTCGTCAATAAATTTCGTGGTGATCTTACCGCTTACAAAGCGAGGATGGCGATAGACATCCTGTAAGAATGATATGTTGTTGCCAGGGCCTCGAATAACATAGTTATCCAGCGCCATTTTCATGCGCTCTAAGCACTCAGAACGGTCCTTGCCGTACGTTATTAATTTCGAAATCATGGGATCGTAAAACATTGAGATATCGCTCCCTTCATTCACCCCCGAATCTACGCGCACGCCCGGTAGATAGAGAGGCTCCTTATATTGGAGTAGACGTCCGATAGAGGGCAGAAATCCACGAAGAGGATCTTCAGCGTACACTCGGCTCTCCATTGCCCAACCATGAATTTCCACAGGTTTATCGACTAATTTCTCTGGCAGTTCATGCCCGGCTGCCACTCGAATCATCTGTTCTACAAGATCGATGCCTGAGATGAGTTCCGTAACGGGATGCTCCACCTGTAGACGCGTGTTCATCTCTAAAAAGTAAAAGTTCTTGTGTTTATCACACAGAAACTCCACAGTTCCAGCACTTTTATACCCGACTTTTCTCGCCAGCATTGCAGCCTGCTTGCCCATGGCGACCCTCGTTTCCGGATCAAGCAACACACTTGGGGCTTCTTCAATCACCTTTTGATTACGACGCTGGATTGAGCACTCTCGCTCTGGCAACGCAACGACGTTACCGTGTGAATCTGCAATGAGTTGGATCTCGATATGACGAGGATCTTCAATGAATTTTTCAACGAACATGCGGTCGTCTCCAAAGCTGCTGGCTGCCTCTTCCTTCGACAATCGGTAGCCCATGCGTACTTCATCATCGTTGTAAGCGACACGCATACCCTTGCCACCTCCACCAGCACTTGCTTTGATCATGACTGGGTATCCTATTTCTTGAGCCACGTTTACTGCTTTTTCAGGCGTGTCGATTTCCCCCAGAAAGCCTGGGATAGTGTTGACACCCGCATCCATAGCGAGTTGCTTAGACTCAATCTTGTCACCCATAGCTTGAATGGCAGCATGCCCAGGTCCAATAAACGCCACATCGATGGCCTCTAACGCCTCACAAAAGTCTTTATTCTCAGAAAGGAAACCGTAGCCTGGGTGCACAGCTTGCGCACCCGTGGCTCGGACAACTTCAATGATCTTGGGGATACTCAAGTAGCTTTGGCTTGAAGGCGCGGGTCCAACACAATATGCTTCATCCGCCATACGCACAGCTACCGAGTTGACGTCAGGTTCTGAGTACACAGCCACAGTCTTGATGCCCAGCTTCTTGCATGTGCGCATGACGCGCACGGCAATCTCGCCACGATTAGCGACAAGAATCTTATCAAAAAGCTTTTCTTTTGAGTCTGCGTGGAGATGGCGAAGAACTATAGGTGCGGGGTGCGAGTTCGACAACAGCCGACGTCGAAGCATGCGCGCGGACAGCATTGCAGAGTGATTGTTGAATTAGTCTTGAATGCTTGAAGTTCAAGTGAAACAAAGTAGAACGTATCCGCTTATCCAAAGACAATTTTAGGCCAAACGATCAATTATCAATGGTGAAATTATAATCATTATGTAGAGGAGAGGGATATTGTGATCTTCTCAAAATCGACATAAATTAACGCACAGAGGATGGACTCGTTACATCCACAGACGAACAGAGCCTCTAGCGTAACTTGCAACTATGCTCTATGATTTGATGAGTGACACGTATGCATTTAGATCAAATACTAAGTGATACTTCATATATGTATTGTGTCTTCAGTGATATATGTACTTTATGACGTGAGGACGCATCATATAATCTTCTACTTGACGGAAATAAGTGCTTATCACCATGCTTCATCACGTTCGTACATCCAAGCTTCGCTCTATGACATTGGGAAATGGCGACGATACGTACGTTACACTATGGTATCACAACCATTTTGTCATATTACAAGACCACGCACATAAGAAAAGCACTATGAGCGAACACTGCGCCGAGACTTCGTCTCCTTACTGCACTTTAAGGACCAGCTCTCCGAGCATTTAACACATCATGAGCTCTTTTCCCACAACGATCTTTCAAGTTCCCAAACATCCGCCGCGAAATGCGAGGTCGCTGCCGTCGACTTGCAATCCATATTCGATGAGACACTTATGGATTTTTATAATGATGATGAATGTTCACAGTGATTAATCTAACACCTGCGTGCTCACTAGAAGCTTCACGGTCTTGCCGTACCCAATCTACGAGAATCTCTTCGAGGTTGAGGTGTTCGTTACGTTCCACCTACCTCTGCACAAGTTGCGCACTCAGTGCCATTTCCCGGTGCCGATGATCCCACTGCGAAACTAGCGACGAGATCCAGCGGATAGCTCATAAGCTAGATCTGGCTCAGCAGCCGCGATTGTTCGTCTACAAGCACAAAAGTCACAGCAATTTTTAATACAGTCACTTCGTCCCAAATCACGTCGTGATTAAAAATTTGATGCATCGGAAGTTGTCGTCGCGCCACAGCAGATACAAACGACAGCTATGTATCTTAGCCTCCCATTCAATCGAAAATCAATACGTGCACTTGGATGTAAATTCGAAAGCCCCCCTCCGACTCCGTGGGTCAATTGTTTTGAGAATTGCCTCTTGCCCCGAAGAAGTGGTGTCTGAGAATACCAATAACCCTTGATGAAGGCCGTACCTCTTCGGGCGAAATTACAAATTTGGATGAGGCAGACACGTCGCCTCACTCGCTTGTCTACTTCAAAAGCCACTTTTAGTAAAGCAAACGTCTGACTACAGCGTCGGGCTATGTTTGAGTTTGCAGAGAGCAAAACACAAAATCACATCGAGGTGGACGTTTTCACCTTCAGGAAATTCTACCTATCAGTCCTGATCATCCTCATGTTCAGGCCTCAAATTTGTAATAAGACCGAAATCCACTCGCTATCGCTTCGGTAGTCTCAATACCTTAAAATTTCTCTGGATAGAGGCAGACGATGCGTCAAGTCTTAAGCAGCAGTGGTGTCAATTAATTTTGAATCAGAACCTCAAAGTTTCATGAGACCTTGAAGAAAACTTGTACTTTAAACTGGTCACTCGCCCTTTGACACCCGCCGCCTACCCTTAAATCGAAGTAGGCCTTCCATGGTCGTCAAGAAAAGCCGATGGTGAACTTACCTCTCTCTAGTGGTTGCGACGGACGTTATTTTTTTTGAAAATCTCGTCGCGTGGCCGATAGGGTCGTAGAGGAACAGCTCAGTCACGTTATGGCTGTTACCGTAAATAGGTACAATGAAGCAAAGACGCAACTTAATTTTATAGACTATAGACGTTGTTCTACAATAATGCTGACTGCACCTGATTTATTGGCATCTGCGATTTTAGGGATTCTGCCAAAGCGTCGTGCACTTCATACATGAAGCTCATCTCATCGAGTTGATGTTCTTTATTATGCTTGAATGCGTAGCCGAAATAATATCATCCAGTTGATCAGTATCGAAATTCCAGCTCCATCAATACCGAAGCCACTTTATAGCGTCGTCAATAGGGCAATGAAGCAATGGGACAACCTTTTGAAAACGATGCAAAATTTGTAAAGGTGTAAAATGCTTTATTTCACGAACATTCAACGGGTGGATTTCATTCGCTACATAAACGCTGTCTCTCCGCGCAATTTCTTCGTATAATTTTATAACCACGCGATCAACGAGTTTTGTCCGATCAACTATCCAGGGATAGTCAGTGATGACCAAATTCAGCCCAATGCCAATAAGCTTAAGAAACTTTTTCCAGAAACATACAGTGATGCCCAAGTTTTGATTAGTGGCCTTTGGCAAGTCATGTCGGCTAAAACGGATTGAGAAAAAATCTTGGCTGAATTATATTTGTAACGGTGTGTCACTGGCAGCAGCAAAATAGGCTATATTTTTTAGCGCTTAACAAATACTGCAATGTCGGTACTACCGGATGTGTCTTTGAAAAAGAGAAAAACAGAGACTATGCGGATGAACTGCCAACACTATGCACTCTTGTCAAGGGTGCCGACACATTAGAAAAGGGTCTAGGCTAGGCAATTGGCCAGAGTGATAAACCATTTGTACATGTTGAGCCAGCGGGCATAGCGCATACGAAATCGCATCTCTTATCTACCGAGGCGGCACACCGTGTGACTTGTTATTAGTTTCGTACCTGGTGCCTTTGTAATGAGGCACAAATTTTAAGCAGCATAATGCTGTAACAAGAAAGCCTTCAGACCGGGAACAGCGACGCAATCGCGCAACCCAACGCTGGTGTAAAGCGAAGTTTATGCCTTGACACGTAAGACCTCAAAGAAACAAAAGGCTAGATTTGCTAATACAATTATCAGATAGGAGTCAATGCTGCGTACCACGCTTTCCGGACCAGTACCAGCAAGGAAAGCGTGCTAAAAATGGCGCTATTGAAGCCAGCAGTTCGTATCATGTTATAAATAATGCGATCCCGCAGCTAAATGACTTGTGCAGCGGGGCTGCCGTAGCTTTGCGCTTTGAGGAAGCGTAATTTAGGTCACCGACCTCTCGTTCTAGTGGATTTACTTCAAGAGTAATTATAGCCTTAACCCAAGGCTAATCTACTCTTCGGTTTAAATTTAAAACTGACACTAGTTATTTTTATCTGAGGCAAAGCAGCCTAATTTTAAATGCATAGATTTTTTAAAATATCTATAGTAAAATCTAAATGCATGTATAACTACTGGCTATCCAGCCCCGTACCGTACTCTTGTTTGGGTGTGATCACACCATGCCCATCTGGCGTGACACCCCCTTGTTACCAGGGTATTTGTAACCCCGTTTCACTCTCCCCCATTAAGACTGAGAACATTTACGATCCCAATCGATTATTGCCTCAACGAGGCTTGCGTGTCTGTTAAACACTGCGTTGGAACTGAACGACTTCCGTGTTCAATGAGCCCTGTGTCAATGACACCGAAGTCTCCAAGTTTCGCTGGTTCTGACAGCGCTCACGGGCAGAGCCCAGCTTTATCTCCCGCACACGGAGCCATGTCGGACCGTATCTCCGCGGCATCGAGGGATGTAGATCCTAGGCTCGATGAGCACAAACATCGCGCTCCGCGTACGCTAAACGGTGACGATTGACCTCGTTGGGGATATGAGGTGGCGACTACGAGTCTGACACTCCTTTTCCCGGATTGAATGACGAAGAAGTGAGACGCACCAGCAGCGTGAGACGAGCCCTACTCTCGCCTTGCGGACCCCATGTCCGTTTCCTAACTTCTCGTCGCCTGAGGAACGTGGTGTAATCACCAATGATCTCGATGAGGTACAGATGCGGCAGCTGGAAGCTGCCCGTAAGGCGGCTCTGATGCGCACCCAACCACGGTCGGTCATTGACCCTTGTGTAGAATATGGCTTCCGCCCGGAGGATACCGCTGTGGAAGAGAAGGACGTGGTAACTTGATCATTACGCCTCCACATCATCGGGCCCCCGGCCATTTCGGATGATGAGTTTGTGGAACGTAAAGCTCTTCGGGCGCGTTTTTTGGTTCCACAAGAATTTTCGTTGGAAGCTTATCGCATTCGTCTGTGTGCTCAACGAGCTGGTTCTCGTGTACCCGCGATGCGGACGATACCTGTAGTGCTCGCATCTGGCGAAAGAGCTACAGATGACGAAGCGCTTTTTGAGCGATGGGTGCAACGGCACCGCAGACTTCCCTCACTGTATGCCTTACAGTTGAGCCACAAGGAAGTGGACGTGCGTGTGGAGCGACA